AGAAATTCACCAAACTAGTCAATTATTGACAGACGTCAAACTAGTCATATGGGAAATGATAATGTGATCATTGGTTCGAAAATGAATAAGAGAAAAAACCACTAGTGCATTTATCGCTGGAAAAGTTGCAGGTAACTTTTTCCGCTGTCAAGGTGACAATTGCACTGCGGCTTATGCGATTTTTTATACATGAGTTGAATTGTCAATATAATTTCTCCATAGATCAAAAATCGCCCCAGACCCCAAAATTGCGAACCTCTTATCAGTAGTAGTACTGTCATCAAACTGAGGGCCAAAAAAGTATGTATAGACAAAGAGTACGAGCAGCTTTCTAATGGCCTATATTTTTTTTTTACTAAAAATCAATATTATATATGTTTATACAGGGTGTTACAAAAATTATGGACTGACTATATGCAGCTGGATTTTACAACTAAATTATGAAAAAAGGTTAAAAACATCCCTAAAGTGGCTCGTTTCCGAATGTGAGATGAGGGTCAAAAAGTCCCCCTACTGAAAATTATATGGGATTCTTCGTATTTAGAGTTGTGAATAAAAACATGAAAAACTTCCAGTAGCTGTAGCTCAGTAACGAGCCACTTTAGCAGATATGTTTCTTTAAAAATTTTTCTTATTTTTAGTCATAGAAGCATATAGTTAGCCCACAATTTTTGTAACGCCTTGTATACCTTATACTTAAATTATTGGCTTAAAATGTTTCAATCACCGCCAAATTTCTTAAGGAAAAGGCTTTCTACTCTGTTGAGGAATTCCTTAAGATTACAATACCTACCTTAATTAATTACTAATTAGATGTAGTTACCCTTAATGTATTATGTTTGTTGTTTTGACTAGTGCAAGTATTATTTTGTTTTGCAAAACACGTAATATATTATCATTATTATTATTATTACCTTAACATACCTAATATTCTAATAAGCCCATACCGTTTGTTGGTAGATATACAGCGAATTGATTTAATGTGTGATGTCGTAATGAATCATTAAAAGTTGATCCGCGCCAATAAAAAGGGGCATCAGGAGTGACCATAAAAATTACACTTTCCACAATAATTCCACAAAAATATAAAGGTTTGTTATGTTATAAGTAGATGACGATAAAAAAACAGCTGTTTACATTATTAACGAGGTCCTAGCGAGTTCATAATTTGGCGGTATCTGTCGTCTGTTCGTTAGCACGATATCTCGAAAACGTATGGACCGATTAGGATGAAATTTTGTAGGTGGATTCCTAATCAAATTTGTAAATTGGAGTTCATGAATTGGCAATGTAGGCCAAAAAAACCAAGGCGCCTTTGACATCTCCGTTAGTTATGAACCGAATTGCATGAAATTCAAAATGAGCATAGGTTTAGCCATATAATACGCAATGTCAAGCTATAATATATACCCAGGAGCTCGTTTGCTATATTTGTTTAATTTATTTGCAGCGAGCATTTTTAAGGAAACACTTTTTAGGGTTGAAGAAACAGCAAAAACATCTTCAGCAAAGTTCACCTGATAATGGCCACAAATGCGTACCAATCGAACAGTAGATTTTGTAGCGGTTGCAGTATCTGCCCTTTCCAATTTTGAAAATATTCAATATAACTTTGGGTTGATTTTGGAACCGAATAATTATGGGCCAATAGGCATCAATAGGACCTATGTCTTCATTTATCACAGGAGCAAGCACGAAAGGAGCTTGGAAGGATGGCATATTCTCTTTTGAGCAGCTGCTAATGGAAAGACCTCCAGATGAAGGTATCATGCGTCCCGTACAAAAGTTTGTAATTCTTTTGTATGATGCCCCATCTCCATGAAACACAGTTAATGAGTGTAGTGTAGACGGTTCCTTTTTATTAAAAAAAAGTAGAGCAATTGAGAATACACCTCCGCTCCGACGCAAAATCCTGTTCAACATATCAAGCGAGCCACTTGTCAAACTCTTATATGGAAGCACTGTCTGGAAAAGACTATCAACCTCCTTCCCCCCACACTTGCATGCAAAATTGTCGATGTAAAACAATTTTTTATTCAAATGTTTCACAACAAACTTGTGTTTTCGTACCCCTCACTTGATGACGTCATTACTGGGGTTGGGGAGTCGGAAATTTTTGGGGTCTGAGGGTTTTTTAAATCTTTGGCCTATACAGACGTGCAGTGTGATTGATTTTGCGTGTCAGAGCGTATAGTTGTTTTACTATTGGAGATAGCAAAAAAGTGTAAGAAGCAAAAATACTCTACTTTCAATTTCTGATAAAGCTACATATTAAAAAAAACAAGTGATATAAAAACAAAAGAGCCTCAGAAAACAAATGAATTTGTTTAAATAGAACGATTACCGGGACGATTACTTTTTTCTGTAATCTTCTTAAAGAGCTTGAAATTCTCTTTGCAATGATATCAAATATGTTATAATTACTTTGGAAATTAAAGCTACATTAATGTGTTTAGAACCAATCGCAGTAGCTGTGGAAATTTAAACAAAAACATAAAATTATAACAGGCAGCGAAGAAAAGTTACAGGAATAATTATTATAACTTAAGACCAATTTAAACACATTAGACTTGATTCTTATGTATTATCATTACACATTTGACATTACATTACACCTCTTAACACTTATCATCATTTGTGTAATTATTATTTTGTTGCATTGTGGTTCTTATGAGATATTTTGTTTACTAAATTAATTTTGTGACAGATATGACAAGTAAAAAACTCTCTTTTGTTTATGTTTAAATTTCGACAGTTACTCCGATTGGTTTTAAAAACATTACTGCACATTTAATTTCTAAGGAAGTCACTTGTTTTGGCATTGGAAATGGGAAATGCTTATGTTTTGTATGGGTATGAAGCAGGTTTGCCGAGCAGAAAAGAAGACAAGTGGTGTCGCGTCTAGTGTTGATTGTACCGTACTCGACTGCAATCGGTAGATTCAGGAAAAGTCGCGGATACTGTCAATACGGTACTAACTTAACAGTGCGCAGGGGTTTTATTAATTCGAATTTAAAATTCTTGCACATCGCCTGTGATAGTATTACAAGCATGTGACGCCGCTTATTATTCAGAAAGTTTATGTTTGCGACGCGAGCGAGCTTGCGAGCGAGTGGAGCAAGATTATTCCGTGTGAATAAGGGTTATTTATGGCTTTATAGGTTATACGGTTATCATTTCCAATGTCTCCGATGGTTGCAAGAATTGCGAAATCTGTGATTTTTTTTAATATGTACCTACCCTTATCAGAATTAAAAATAGAGTACTTACTACTTTTCTTCTTACACTGTTTCCCTACCCCCAATAATAAAAGGAATCCGCTTGGACACGTAAAATCAATGACACTGTATGTGCTACTAAGTTCATGTTCTTGTCATAATATCTCTCCTTATTTGGAAGTATAAGTTCGTCGTATTTGTATTTACCGAGGTATTTGCATAAATACGTGACAAAACATTAATAAATTGTTATTCCGGTACACTACACATCATATCATGATGTCATGGAAGGTATTATGTAATAATCTTACTATATGCTCGATAGTTTTAACTACATCAACAGATAAGACCATCACAATATCATAATAGCTTATCGAGTATATCGGCTTTTCCGAGCCGTGCTTTTGGAAAGCGATAACGTTGCTTTGTTGTGGAATACAACGAGAGGCAAAGTGTTACTTTAAATGCTTTTAATAAAATCGATTACATATGTAAGGTCAATAACGATAAATGAAGTTCATTACTGTGAAAGTTTGAATGCAATGCCTATACTACCTATGAAAGAATCAACACAAGTCGATTTCTCCGACACATTTGAAAGGTATCACTGAAACTAGTACCATAAGAAAGAAAATGCTGCAAGTCTGCAACCTGAACGATCCATTCCAATTTCACCTAACTACGTATAATAGTGAACAAAATATATATAAATATATTGTGTGATGATAACTGTAATAAATTCTTTAGTTAATATTAACCAATTGCAATCCCGTTATTATAATAATACAGCACTTTCGTTTAATGCAAAGGCACTAAGCACAAAAATACGGAATATGCGCTACATCACCTAACTAAATAAACCTTCATCCAAATTATAAAGGCCATAATTGTTGATGGACATCTATTCAATAGACACAGCTGTGTTGGATTTTAAAGGCATTACATAATACGGACGTATTGAATACCAGAACATTTCAAAGATTCGCAGGATGAATAGTTTATATGAACAGTTAAAATAGTTTGAATTAAGAGCGAGGGCTACTTCATTACGGGTTATTTTCTTATTTCTTATCACGACTGAATTTTGTGTTATCATCACATCAGTTGTTAAACATGTCTGATAAACTTGATTGCCTTAAGCAATTTATTAGCCTTGAATGTATAGGCACTTTTCAAATCACCAAAACCATTACGGTTACAAACCAACTAACGTAAGGGTTAAGAAACAACATATAATTAGGAAATCAAGGCCATTTTAATTGGCGAAAAGATAAGGGCACCGCCACACCGGAAGAGTTGCAATAACGTCAATCAGTGCGGGTTTTCCTTTCAGCACTCGGAAGTCAATTACCAAAACACAATGACTTTTTTTACTTGCGGTTTAGCAATCGGTATTGATTCGGTCTCTGATAAATTTGCGAGGGCAAGGCAATACTCCCAATTCACCGACCAAAAACTCACGCAATAAAATTCTCTTTAAGATCTTTCCATGGCCATTAATTTCACACCATACTTGTTACGCACAATTTCAATTAATTTTCGACAAAACAAACGAAATTGTAATCGGACTTACGTAACGCACAAATCTTATCAAGTGCACGAAAATACATTTCAAAAAACAAACTGAATCTGAACCTCAAAATACAGGCCAACGATAAAGCATCCCCAAGTTTTAAAAGCGGGATAATTTGAAAGTCGATTAAAGAACGATACGAAACGATGAATAGATATTTTAATTGCAAGGTCATACAAAATAATGTAAAGTGTAATAAAACCACTTACCAGATTTACGTTTTTCGTTTAAAACCAAGGATTTAGTCCTTTTAACTCGTAATGATCTACGCCTGATAGAGCGTAAAAATGATTCAGGCATACGTTGGCGGGGATTCTCGGCAATTTTCTTCTCGGGAAGTAACCAATTTTTCACGGCGGTCATCGACAGTCCGTGTTTTGATTTTTTTGGTGTAGCAACTGGATCACTTTTTAAATCGACCATTTTCGCGAATTTCACTTTCCTAATTTCACTTTTATTTATTCGGTTTTTAAAAAATCGCGCGCGTATATACAGAGAGGTACATTATATTGAAAGTTGTAGTAAATAGAAGGCATGAACTATCCGTAGAAGGGACGATTCCCCACCAGTTCCGTAGGAACCGCGTGGATAGCATATTGCGCGCACACTCTCTTTACACGTTGTTCACGTACGTAGAAAAAGCTTTATCAAAATTACTTGCAATCGACAAAGGTTGCGAATCTCGTGTTTTTCTATATTTGAGCTGGAGGTTAAAAAATAACAAATTTGAATAAACGCAAGGTAACGTCACGATGCTAAATCGCTAAATCTAATTATTATGACGTTAAATTCAACGTAGGTATTTGGGTAATATACCATACCTACTAAAATACTTTCTAGTTTCGTGCTTTAGGTGTAGGGTGTAGGTGATTAATGATGATGTTTTTGTAATACATGTTCGTTGAAGTTGAAGTATCAATAACATAATATCACATTGCCAGAGAAATCATTTAAACGACCTATGGTGGTTATTATTTTATTATATCTACTTGTATTATAACATTTCTTTATGCCAAAAGAGTAAATATTATCAAGATTTTAATTAATTATTTCTCAAGCTTTATATGAAATTTTATATTGAATGTAATATGGGAATTGGACGTAAATCATCAATGATCAGAGAATTTTTGAATTTCGACCACTTATTAAATGAGATCAACTGAAGTCAGGTTGAACCATTGTGGCATAACCGGCTCTAAACGTTTTTAAACGAAATTTATGATTCGCCGGGTCCTCAACAATGTTATGTGTACAGAATGGTTTAAATTCTTTGATTACCTTGGCATCTCCGTAAGGGTGAGAGATTCGGTGTAAGTTAAATGGGAGTTGCTCCTTTTTGAGACGAAAAAATTTCTGTAAAATCTTTAAAAATAACCGAGATATCATCGAATAACTGAAACTGTCAAATTTCGTTTACATTTTCCCTAGCTTAAACGGCCGGAAATAAACGGTTCCCGTTAGCAACTTCTAGGGACACTTTCTTTCGAAGACTGAATCTGATATTAGAATTTCCACAACAGCTAGATGTAGACGCTACAGAGTACAGGCTACTACTGTCTTATTTGTTATAGGCGCCATATTGAATTTTTACGGAATGAGATAGACACAACATCACCGAGTAACTAGATCATGTTCAATCGACATGGTTATGACGGCACTGTATTCAAATGAATTTCTTTTTTGTCCTCTATCGCATTCCGTAAAAATCCAATATGGCGTCCATTAGAAATAAGAGAGAGTACCCTATAGCTGCTAGATCTAGCGTCTTATTGAATTTCTGATAATAAACTCAGATTCTCCGAAAAAAATGACCAAACCCCATACAACTTAGAAGGCGCCAACGATGATATCACGGTTATTTTCGAACACTGTTTCGTTCACCGTTCACCGAATTAATCAATACACAGTTGCACAAGTATTGCTTTATTATGCATCACTGATAAAAAATAAATCACAACTTTATGTATGATAGATAATGGCCGAAAAACGAAATAAACAAAATACTACATATACTCGTAATTCTACACATTGAACTGTAAATGTGTAAACTGAAAAGTTATAGATATATTGCGTGTGCCCCACGTTGGGCGCCACAAAAGAATGATGTGTGCACTGATCCGTAGATTTAATCTTAACACACAAATGGAAAATACAAAAACGCAAACAATTGTTACAAAAAGGCTAAAATCATTAGTTTTCTACTTACATTACTTGTCCAGGAATTGGAATATCCAAATAAAAGGTGTCCGTACACAGTTCACAAAAAAATGTTCAATGAACACAAATGACATTTTACACTAACGACATCGGGTAATCGCAGCATCTTCTCTTCGGGTTGAGAAGGACGTTCCCAATGAAACTCAACTTCAAACTGAGTCACGTTGAAAACAAACTTGGGAAACGCCGACAAACACCTCTCCTTGCGGTACCTTTGACGGCCAAGACTACGACAATCCTCCAGCCGGTAAGATAAAAAAAAACTTCGGCGTTGCAAACAAACGTAGAACAATAAATTGTTTTTAAAAGGACCGGTAGAAAAAGAGAAATGCTACTAACAGCGTTAGTTAAAAATGCCATCAGTAACGAAAATAAACCGATACAACGAAATATCGAAGGATCCTCAGTATTACAATCACTTTTAACGACAATTTTTTTTCATCTTACAAAATATATCAAATTAATGTCTTGGGTATTGAGATAATGCTCTTGGTCTTTTTTCCAACGATCTTGGTGCATAAATAACGATTTTGACATGTTTTGATCAAAATCCACGTGGTCGCCAAAAATCCATCAAATTTATGTCTTGTTCATTGAGATTATGCTCTTAGTTCTTTCCAAACGATCTTGGTGCATAAATTTTTGACAGGTTTTGATCAAAATCCACATGGCCTCAGATTTCAGAAAAAGAATTGAACATCTTTGAATCACACACAGGCGCGGTTATCAAATGTGCATGTGATGTACTCTTTCAGCATCAAGATAATGCGTTTGAAAGCTTTTACAACTCCAAATTGTGTAAACGTAAAGAATAATTTTTGGTTCATTTTGCTCTAAAACTTTTGACCTAGACCACAGAGAAGACTTATATTGAGTTGTTACACATCTAAGAGTCATAGGGAATAATCTAGCGAAAGCGAAGCCAACTCGATACATCACCTAGGGAACGAAATATGTTGATTTCTATTATATTGAGTCCGCAGTTTTTCCTGTTCCCGAGTCACTCGAAGTCCTATAACTTTTATTCCTGTTGAATCAGCTTCCTGGAAATCAATAGCGCCCGTCCTTAATGTCCAAAGTAGCCGTCGAGGTAGCCGTACACCAAATTTCAACACAATTGGTCACTTTTAAAAAGAGTTATAACGCACACGGACGGACGGACGGACGACAATACAAAACTAAATACGTTTGTATTTATATAATTGATGATTTATAGAGTATAAAAGATACAGGATGCCGGTTACTTTATGGGTTGTACCATCGGTTGTACCCAGGGTTAACATATGATTACATCTAACTTCCCATAACCGATAGAGACTAACCATTTTTCATCGCACGGCTCACTTGAATGCTCTGAATTTGAAAAATTTGAAATTTCTGATACTAATGTACAAAAAAAATATGATTTACTACGTTTCTAATTCTAATCAAAGGAAATGTTTACAAAAAAGATATTATTTCTATCTACACTTACAGAAAAATTGCTGTATCATTTTATCCACAAAGTTACCATAATTACGCAAAACGTAATGTTTGCGAAATTTTATACATAAGGTTACTACTTGTAGCCAATGCTGTCACTGCATCTATATGAGTACTTATGATAATAATAGTGGCAGGATTTCTTCCACGATTTTAGGATTGATGTCATAATTAATAAAATATCAAGATCGAAAATAAATCGAAAAACAGGAAAACTTCTAATGCCATAATGATTTTTCGATTATCGTAGTAAACCAAGTATGATTTCTGGACTGAGTACAATGATAATGGACGGCTATATAAATTACCTACAGTAAACGGAAATTTTGTCAATCCCTCTTTCACCATTAGCTTAACAGTCTAGAACGGAATCTAAATGTCCACATTCGGATTACGGCAGGAAATTAAAAAGTATAGGCGTTCTATGAATCACGGCAATGTAAATTAGCAGCTGTCTTCTCTACGGTTGAATGTTACCTCTAGCTGCAATATGCATTTCAAACCGATTAGAATTGCAAATACACAGACAAAAGTTATAGAAATCCATATCAGCAAGACTTTTTTACACAGGTACAGGTAAGTTTACGCTTTTCATTAAATTCTTATGCAAGTGCGCAGATACACAGAATGCACTGCAATTTGCAGATTGGGTGCAAAGAATTAGAAATTATGGCGTACTTACTTTAACGATATTCGATAACAATGACAAACTAAAAAGGATATAAAATAAATGTCATTAAATAAAAGAAATGTTGGTTTTATCTTTTTCCATTTAGATACAATTAGTATGGACATTGTACGAGGACATTCCTACATATTAGTTGAGTTATTTATGTTTTTTTAGTGTTGGGATACTAATTTTTTTCTTGAAATGTGGATAGTAATCCTAATAACTAGCTATTAGATGGGGATAACAGAGTAAACTGCTCTGGAATCGGAAATGATATCGTGTAGACGTGTACCTTTCTTGGAGGCGACGGTGGCGGTGAGAAAATGAAACTAAGGAGTTGTGGAATATCCCAGAAAGCTCAAAAAGCTGGTGGTTGTGGTGGAGAAATGACAGTGTACAGTAAATGCGATGTCGTCGTTCGGATAGCCAAGCAGTACCTAAAGTCACATTCTTTAAAAATGTTAAGTAGAAAGTCAAGTTTGACATTTCTGCTTTTGGAACTAAGAGCATGTAAAGCAAAAAGGCATAGGGAATTAATACACTTAAAATAAAGACATACTCAGTGAGAAATGAAATTGCAGTAGCGGAAAAATCTCAAGCAGTGCATACTTCATCTTTATACTGTCTATATAGTTAGCAGTGGAGACATTTTTCGTAACTTCGATGATACAATTCTTACCTACAGTTTCATGCAGCATGCACTCCAGTAGATGAATGAATGAATGAATTTTGGTGTCTAAAAGCATTTTTCATTTCATTTCATATAGAGAGCACGGATTGTTTGCCGTTCCGCGGTTTTCAAATCAATTGTTAAATACATTGCCTATGTAATTGACGTTTTGTAAGATATCGAAAAAAGAGTACGTATTTCAAATTTCAACGTGGAAACTTCAAATTATACAGTTTAACATTTACATGTTTGCAAGCGGTAGTGCATACTGTTTCCCGTTCCATTAATTTGGTTGATTAAATATAAAAAACGCGGTCACGGACATTAAAAGTTTAAATTATTGTATTGTGTCAAGCCATCAAATTAGTACAGCGCAGCGGCAGGAAAAGCTACAAACAGTTTTAAAAAGAGGGTTGCGTTTAGGGGTGTTTGTAATTAGGGAATAGGGATCGCGTATTAAGTCACGAATCGACAGTATTTAGCATATTAGTTACGACGATGTCT